CCCTACATCCCGTATCACCGCCATCTTGATCCCACCGCCTCCAGGGCGGCAGTGAAGTCGCAAAGCAGAGCGGGTGTGAGAGGGACCCATCCCGCACCCCGCAGGGAGGAGGATGAGGAGGGGGTCGGGGCTGCAGACACTGTGTCCTCACCAAGCGGATGGAGCGAAAGCTGCACAGAGAAGCCGGGGGGAGGTATCGGCGGGTGCCACCTGGGGAGACAGGATGATAGAAGGGGGGGTGGCCGGAGCGGGGCATGAGCACGCATGATGCAATGGATGGTGAAGCGGGACCCCTGCGCGCCCACAGCACCCCCTTCCCACACCCAGGGCAGGGGGAGGCCGGGGGGCTGGAGGAAGGTGATGGGGGTCAGGGCCGAAGCTGCCCATGGGCTCTCACCTTGGTCGTCGAATGCGTGGGTCAGCTCGTGCCCCATCACCACACCGATGCCACCAAAATTAAGTGCTCTGCGGGGCCGTGGGAGAGAGCCAGGTAAGCGTGGGGGGATGATGCCATCACAGCCTGTCCCCAGCGCCAGCACCCCTCCTGCAGCCCTGGCACCCTGTCTGTGTCTGGGGCACCTGGCTGGGAATGAGTCCTGTTGGGGACAGCGGTGGCCCTGCGGGGACTTTGCAGGCTGTCTTGGCTGCAGGATGTAAAGCTTTGGTGGACCCTCACTCCCTAAGGCTTTGCTTTGTGACTGGGGGGGCTCTGTGGGTGCTGGCTCTGATCCAGTCCGTGCCCCTCCACCCCCAGGAGATGCCCCTCATCCCCATGCCAGGCTCACTTGGGGTGGTTGCGGGCGTAGAAGGGAGCCTGCAGGATGCCAGCGGGGAAGACGATCCCATTCTTGGTGGGCAGGTAGTAGGCATTGACGGTCTGCGGGGTCATGCTCCACCTGGGGCAGGGAGGTGGGACAGGGGAGCAGGAGGAAGTATTTCCCGCACTCTCCTGTGCCATCTCCCACCATGTGTCCCTTGTGCTGCCCTGCCCAGGACTGTCACTGCTGCCCCCCGCCCCGTGACCAAGGGACTCTGCAGCTGTCCCAAGGACAAGCCAGAGCCACCACGAGTGACCTACAACGCTGTGCCACCCCATGGGGGGACCTTCCCCTCAGTGAAACAGTGCTACCCAGGCCATGCTGGGGACAGTGCTGTGACACCATGACAGTGCCACAGCCTCCCCCGGGCCCTCCCCCTTACTGGTCACGGTTGGGGGGTTTCCGGAGCTGGTCGGCCATCACTTTGGCAGAGAAGTTGTAGAAGTTGAGCATGTTCTGGAAGAAGGAGTCCTCTGAGACTTCATACTGGTGAGGAAAAGGAGGGATGAGGAGGGGTCCACTGGGGGCTGTTCCCCCCACCCTGTCTGGGATGCACTTGGTTACAGGGGTGGCTCCATGTAACTCCCCATTCCAAATGGGTCTCCAAAATGGGGACATCGTCCCACCATGGGACCTTCCATGCGCGGCCCCTGCCACAAGTCGTGTGGCCCCGTACCCCATCATAGACATCGTCCAGCTCCTTGTTGTCTAGGATGAAGTCGGGGAAGCCGATCATGTCATAGATGGCATCCGCCTGCATGAGGAGAGACCCCAGCGGTGAGATGGGGCAGGGGGCTTCCCAGGATGGGAGTCTCCTACCCGCTGCCCT